TTCTGCTTCATTCTGAAAATTCTACAGATTGCACTGATTTCTACCTAGTCTTCGGAGGGGCTGCTAGAAAATAAGCGAATAAAAGCACGCTTCGTGTTCATTACAAATTATGTGCTCAGATTTCTGCTAGAAAACGGTGATTTTTTTTTTTATATACATAATCCCTTTTTCACAGCAAACCAATTGTTAAGTCATCAACAAGATCAAATCAATTGTAGTTAAACAAAAGTGTAGCGTAAAAAAAGTAAATAAAAAATAAATAAAGCAGAAACAACACCACCACCAACACCTCACCGACTCGTGCGATGTCTTGTATCGATCGTGTTGTGATCACGCGATTTCGCACTCGCGCCCATCGATCGATCAGTCCGGGCAGCCCAGCAACCAACCAACCAACAATTGTGTGCGCGCGCACAGCTATCAGTGCCATAAATTCATTTGTTTGTTTGTCCGTCTGAGGATTTAATATTTAAACAAAAGTAGCAACAGCAACAGCAAAACACTAGCAATACAGCTATCACATTGAACGCCGTCGTGTTGCAAAAGTAGGTACATGTGTATTTTAATTCAATAATCATTTTCACTGACGATCACCTGCGCTTCCCGAAAAATGCGCGCACCAAAGAAAACACACAAAAAACAATACAAGCAATGTGTGCCTGCATGACAAAAAAAAAGCGGGATAAAGAGCATACGGAAACCACCTGAAGCCACTTATGTACACATATATATAGGTAAGCCAGGCAGGCGATCGTTGCAACGGCATCGCGGCAGTACGACAGCGCAGCAACAATCGCTGGCACAACATAATATCTATAATCAGGCACACGTACATATAATATTGGCTAAAGAACTGTTATTAGGATAATCAAATGGGAATTATCATGCGCAGCGATCGACAATTTGCAGTGGCCGGCCAATGTGGACCTATCGATCGACAACGGCGACAGCAGACAGCAGCAGCTACATATACGCGTAAGCTAAGCTCACTTGCGCGGCAACAATGGCAGTTAGATGAAAAATGTTGCTGCTGTATGCCTACTGTGTGCAGTTCGCTTTACTGCTGCTTGCAGCTTCTTCTCGCTGCAGTGGCTGCCGTCTTGACAGTGGCTCATCTTTTTCGCGATCTGTGTTGAAGTGCGTCGATGTTGTACCAGATATACATAAGCACAAGAGCTAATGCTTGTGTGGAATTTTTTGTATGCGGTTGCATTTTCAGTTGGTGATTTTTGTTGTTGTTGTGCTGTTTTATTGCCTACATTAAATATTATTATAAATTTTTTTTTATTCTCTATCCAACCACAACCACATAATCAATCACAAGCGCATAATCCATCACGATCTTGTGCCCGAAATAAGGTGAATGATGTACATAAGTGCGCGCTACGGTTCCAGTGCTGTGCGATACAGTGTGCACAATGAATAAATCGGGAGTTGGTTGGTAACCATGGGCGTAGCCAGTTTCGAGTTTTCCTAATGCATATAAAAATTGTACCCTGAAATGCTAGCTTAATAGTGTAATAAAGGATGGGATTATATATATATGTATATATATAGATTGGCGCTTACACATATGTTAGTGTTTGGCCGAGCTTCTCCTCCGATCTGTGGCGTGCGCCTTGATCTTGTCACACAAAGCGGAGGGACCTACAGTTTTACGCCGACTCCGAACGGCGATTGTGTTTTTATGAGAAGCTGTTTTTCATGGCAGAAATACATTCGGAGGTTTGCCATTACCTGCCGAGGAGCGACCGCTGTTAAGAAAAAACCTTTTTTCTACATTTTTTTGCGATGTTGATTATGTAGGGGCATCTTCATGACAAAAATAGCTTATGTTCATATTCGCTAACTTACAAGTGTCCTCTCTTAGGTACTCTGTGTTTTGTAAATATTTTAGTGCAGTAAAACCTCTATATGTGGACCCCCTCAATTAGTTTTCGCTATCCCACAGAAGTTAAAATTTGATTTGAGTTTTTTTTTCTCTCGTGAAAATGAAAAACGCTACATTAATTTTTTTAACTGTGACTGGCCGGTTGAGGGTGGTTTTACTTTACTTTTTACTAAACCATTTTTTTTTTATTATTTTGCATTGCACTTTCCAGCAATACTCTTTGCTCTTATTCAATTTTCTTTACTGCCCTTTTGTAGTCTGAAATGCTGTTTGTTAAAAATTTTTGCCAAACATGTTTGGGAAATATTTTTTTAGTTTTTCTTTTACCGTATTGTCACGAAACTTTGCCACGTTTTTAACCGCATTCTAAATTGTTATTTTTTAGTTTTTATTTTTTTCTAATAATGTGCTCCATTCTTTGCGCAAAAATACTACTAATTCTATTACCTTTACTTCATACCTTTCATTTTTTTTTCTTATGTTATACATTTATTCAAAACTGCGGTTTCTTGGTGTTTTCGATAACAATTCTTCTATCTTTGTTTTCCTTTCATATGTCTATTTATACTACTCTCTGTACTACTTCCTGTCCAACATCATGTGTTTAGTATTAAGCTCTGCTGTTAGCACCACTTTTTATCAGGTTGTACGTAATTTCCTCTCTTCTTTCTACTACTTTTTGTTGAATTTCTATTTTTTCAGCATAATAACAGTTCCTTAGTCGATTTCGATAACTAATGAAAATATGTAATTCTTTTTTGGGTAATTCTCTAGGGTGGGGTAACAACCCCTAAAAAAGGTGCGGAAAAGTCGGGAGGGGTACCAAACGACGCGTTTCGGCCCCCCTAATAACAATCCGGAGGGGGGGACTAATATTATTAACCATTTATAAGTTATGAACAAAAAAACTTTTGTTAAATTTCGTTGTTTTCTATGGGCAATTACACCGACAAAGATTCACTAAATCACCTGTTCTCACTTTTTAAACACTATTAAAATATATAATTTAACTTATTTATTAAAGAAACACATAGTTTTATCAACCTAGATAGATTATTTTGTTATTAAAAAGAAGTTGACAATCTTTGCGAGCCGAAACGCGAGATTCCAAAATAGCTATAGTGCTGCCACTGTATTAGTATTTCGTAATAATTCACTTTTCCTTATGAGATGTGTGCACTGTTCAATGCTTTTCGGTATCTTCTTTCGTCGCTTTTTCCATAAAATCAATACTTCGATAAATAATGAAAATTTTTAATAAAAAATCGCGCAATTTTTTATTAAAAATTTTCGCCTGCGGCGCTTTTTTTATAAAAATTAATACTTCGATAAATAATGAAAATTTTTAATAAAAAATCGCGCGATGGTATAGCGAAATTTGCTATTATATTTTGGTTACAATATCTTATTTAGATGAAACTAAAAAGAAGAAGAAGAAGTGTATAGTGTATAGTGTAAACTGAGTATAATAGCGCAAATGAAATGTGAAATAAAGTCGCAATACCAGCGATTTGAGGTTATAATAATTTTAGCAGGCGCAAAGTTTGTTTACTCTGTTTTATTAACGAAATATATAAAATAAAAGTGAATAAATGATTTGGTTTGCATAAAATAATAACCGGAAACGTTTTAGTAGTGTTTTAAAAGTGGAAACTGGTGATTTAGTGCATTTTTGACGTGGTAATTGCTCATAGAAAACAACGAAATTTAACAAAAGTTTTTTGTTCATAACTTTTAAATGGTTAATAATATTATCTCCCCCCCTCCGGATTGTAATTAGGGGGGCCGAAACGCGTCGTTTGGTACCCCTCCCGACTTTTCCCCACCTTTTTTTGGGGTTGTTACCCCACCCTAGAGAATTACCCTTTTTTGGTACATTTATACTTTATATTAGATTGCGTACCAAGTTTTCCTATAACAAATTTTCTTGGATATTGACTCTACCCCTCACTAGATTTTGTATCAGGTTTTTCTTTCACACATTTATTTCTACTACTTTTTTGCTACTCTTTCTACTACTTCTGTTCCAGTTTTAATTTTGAAAAGTTTTCCTTGCTTTGACACTGTATTTTTTAGGATTGTGTCGAGTTTTGCTCTCATATTTATATTTTTGCTACCTTTTCTACTACTTTTTGCTAAATTTTTATTTTTTTCCGTTAGGTTCAATGTAATATTCTATTTCAGTTGTCTTTCCTTACCTATTCACAAATTTTGTACATACATATGTATGTACATAGTTTTCATTAAGTCACAATTTATTTCATCTCAAAAATTGTTCAACTATCTTTTTGAAGCGTATTTATTTAGGATATTAAAAAATGCGCATGTATAAAATTATGATCTGGTATTTTTTCGTGCATATTTTTATGTAATATATATGTAAGCCTTTAGCATGCTCAATTTTTCATGCTGGCGTAGTTTTGCTTTTAAATGCGCTACTTTGTAATAAAAATAAGCACACACACATTCACATCGACAATTAAAGTTATTATTTTGCAACGCAATGTATGTACATACATACGCGTACTTGCAGCCTAAGGCCTTGAATCAATGATAATAATGATAATAACATCGCATTTTGCCTGGAAATAAGCAATTGCCGACTGACAGTCGACAGCACATGCAACAATAATATGTATGCATACGTCTCGGCACACAGCTGGCGAACAGCAGCCAGTAAGTAATAAGTTTGATGCGGAAAGCCATATTGTTGCAAGTTACTGGCAAATTTACTCGTACATTACATGTTTTGCATTATTAGTTGGCACCCTCGAATCTACCGTAAAAGAACACATCCATGCAAAAAGAAAACAATCACTTGCATAATCCAAATATATAATGCAACAAAAAGCGCCAACAGCATGCCACATAAATCTCACTTGGTGTCTGCTAAATTATATATTTCAAAAAGCATTAGCTTGCAACGCTACTAAGCGAGCGTAAAAAATCAAAGTGGAAATGGGAGCAAAAGCGGCATGAATCATTTGTATGCCTGTATGCCGCCTGCCTGCCACAAGGCTGGTCGGTCGGTCGGTCGGTCGGTCAGCAGAAGCTGCAATTGGCGGCAGTTCTTGACAGCGCGCGCGGTGGCAGCTTTGTTGTGGACGCATTAACGCGCTATCGCTGCTCGCACTTTCTTGCCGATCGAATAAACGCAATCGATGTGATCACCGTTGCCTGGCTGCTGCTGTTGTTGCTGCCACACAGATGATGCATGAAGGCAATGTTGCTGTGGCGGTGGCTTGATCGATCTCTGTGGGGATGGCTTAGGGATAAAGTTTAACGCGATTGTTTATGATACAAATTAAACAATTTATGACAATGCACACACGCGGCAGCGAGGCCAAACAGCAACAACAAGCAAGGCGCTTTTGTTGGATCACAATAGCTACATACATACATATCTGGCCTTTGTATGCAAAATAACTCGGACACTGCAACACTTGGTGCATTGTTTTGCTGTTGCTTTTGTTGTTGTTGCAAGTATAATGTCGTTCAGTGGCAGCAGCAGTTGCGGCAATTGCGGCACCGCACAGAAGCTTCAGGCGAATTTAGGTTGTGTGGTGCGATCGATCGAACTGTTGATCGGTGGCTTTGGCGCTGCCGCAATGTGGGCTGAGGCAACCTTGCACTGGCAACTCTTCGGTGCCATACAGCTGTGGCTATAAATTATTTATCGCGCACATATGTACATATGTACATACGTTGCACTGTTGCCACAAATTTTTAAAACGTCATTTATTATAAAAATTTTATCGCTTCTGGTCTCGCTTCAGCGTTCCTCCTTCAATACAAAACGGCAGCGGACTTTGGCTAAGGCTCAGCTGAGCTGTAATTTTTCGCGCGCATAATTTTATTCTCATGATTTTTTTTTTTGTTTTTTCAGTTTACTCTTTAAAATAAATTTTCCCATAATTGATTTAATGCTTTCGATTATCTTAAGTTTATTATTGTACATACATACATACCCGTATGTGTTAAGCGTTGTTTTTTCGTTTTAAATAAATTTGGTAATTTTATTATGCTTTTTTGTTTTGTACTAATCGTTCGATTGTTTTCTTGTCGT